TTTCTGATCTGAAAATGCCTCAGTGAATTTTGTAAAAACAGAGTGTATTTACAGAATTGAGTCAGCACAATGTTGGTTGCGATATGTTCCTAATACCAGTTATCGATAGAATTTTAAAATTTTATAAACCTTTAAAAAAATATTTCATAAATAAAGATTATAAAAGCTGTCCTAATATTTTGAAAATTTTTTTCAATAATGAATGGCAGAGAAATATTTAGGAATGATTTCACATGTAGGAAATCTACTACATGCTGTTAATGTGTAGTTGCAATCAGAAGAATCCAAAGATTCACAAAATTATGCTGCAGATGTGTTCATCTTTACAGTTAAAAATTGACAATAAATTTTATAGCGCCATTGCTAAAACTTAATTATATTTTATTTGAGATGTAAATAATAGAACTAAATGTTTACCGTCGTTATTGAGATATTTATAAAATTCCTGGAATGACATATTATATATTTGTGTAACCATTACCTCGGCCTCTAATGTTGTTAAAGCAATCCGATTACTCTCCTTTTTCCCGGCAGACCTCATCAGGCTAAACATGCGCTCGGATGAGGCATTAAATTAGGTAAGGAGAAGACATACTCGCATATTTTTTCCAAGCATGGGGATTTATCGTTATAACGAAAGAATTCTACCCATTTCTGCTCTGCTTTTAGCAGGGTTGGGCAAATTTTCAGAAAATTGTATTCGGATACAGATACAGATACTTTATAAAATTTTGTATTTAAGATACAAGATACTAGATACTTTATAAAAATTTCAATAAGATACAAGATACTTGTATTTTTTTTTTAAAGTATCTAAGATACAAGATACTTTTTTAAAAAACTTTAAATAGTCAAAATCAAAATGTATAAAGCTTTATTTTCTTATCTATAATATAAATTTATAAAAAAATATTTAAAATAAATTGTAGAAAATAACAAATTTATTATAAAAGATAATGCGATATTCCATTTAATAATATAATTAGTAAATAATAATAATCAGCATTATTTTTTAATATTATTAATTTTTCAAATGATTTATCGTTCAATCTTTGACGATTTGGTCTATTAACCATATTAGCAAAGCTAAATAATCTTTCAACGGGGGCTGAGGAGGGTAATATTGTGTTATATTTAATAAATATTTCTTTTATATATTTATAACTATTTAACATATTTATACTCCGCCTGTCATCTTTCATATAATTTAGGACCTCTATTTCAATATCATTTATTGAATTATTAGAATTGGATGTGGTACTTTTAAGGCAAAAGTAATCATCATCTTCATCAAATGAAGATTTTGTTGAAGTATTAATTTCAATATTATTTTTAAAAACAATTAAAACTTCATGTAATAACAAATCCTGAAGGTATTTTTTTTCTTTTTCACCATCAATCCAACTATTTTTAAAATAGGGATGATGAGAATAGTTGCCAAAAATGCACTTTTAAAATTGTTATCAAAATCATATATATTTTTAAATCTTTTATTTAAATAATTTTCTATGGCAATAGCTAATGGTTTGCAAAATTGTAGAATGGTTTGAATTAAATTTGTAATTTTTTTTTAACGACATTTAAAATTGGAGCTGATTCTCCATAATAGCAGTTGATTTCACTCTGTATTTTGTCAATCGCTATAGCCAATGGGGCCATTATATTGCAATATTCTTCTAAATATTGAATTTCAATATCTCTTAATTTAGGAAATTCTAATTTTTGACATAATTTAGGAAGTTCGCCTTTAAATTTTAATAAACTATGAAGACTATCATACAAACTATTCCATCTAGTGCAATAAGGTGTAACTAATTGTTTTCCTAAAACTTGATAAGTTCTGCAGTTTTAGGCCTATTATTTGCATTCCATATCTTAGTACATTTAGCTATTGCAGGATGATGAATTTTAGAAATGTTAGGAGAATCCTAAATAGCTCTCTCGACATCTGTTGTGGCAATTAGACTTATCGTATGGCACAAACAACGAATGTGTTGAGGCAATGTTATTGAGGCTTCTTTAGACCCTTAAATAAACAAATAAATAATTTTATTTGAATAAAATTTTTTACTAAATTTACAATATCATAATAAATTTTAAATAAGTATTAAATAATACTTTCAATGATTTCGAATTCTATACATTCATCATCATTGATGTCAAAGTCATTCTCTACAGCTTCCATAGAATATCCAAACTCCTTGAAAGCTTTCTTAAAGTTAGAGCCGTTATCTGTAACAGTTGCTATAACTTTTTCGTCAATAACAAAGTCACGATGAATTTCTTTATTATGATAAGTACTTCAAAAAATTTGTCATTTAAGTATGCTTAGTTTAAATTTATTGTTATAATTTTCGGTTGAAGAATCATCTGAAGACGAAGATAAACATATTATTCTATTTTCTTCTTCCATAATTTTAAAATAGACAGATATAAAACGATTCAAATATGGTAGTTCTAATTGTTAGCAAATTGCTATATGACGACCAACGTCATATATCAAAAATTATCTTAAAACATCTAAATTTTGATTAAATTTTTCATTTAAATCTTAAAACAGTATCATTTTAAATTTTAATACTATTTAAATTAAGATACTTTTGTATCTTGTATCTTAGATACAAATATCCGCGATACTGCCCAACCCTGGCTTTTAGACCATCTAATTTTAAGTATTTTGGCGAATCATAAAAAATAGAGAGAATTACAATCTCCTCAAACAAGAAATCAATGTCTTTCGGTATTTTTAATATATTTATTAAATTATAAAAACCATCAATTGATGGTTTCTGTTCCATGGTCATAATATTTATACATTTGTAAATAGAGTTATTAAAATCAAATTTTGATTGTAAATATTCTAAAATTGTCTTAATAAAAATATCTGCTTCATTTAAAAATGTATTAATTAGAGTATTATTTGAACATTTTAATATAAATTTTTTAGCAATAGCGCCATAAAATTTATTATCAATTTTTAACTGTAGAGAAGAAAAAGCTGTAGCATGATTTTCTGAATATATTTTATAAAGAATATTCTGATTGCAAATGAGTATTAACTGCATGAACATGTGAAACGAATCCCAAATATGCTTCTGCCATTTCATACTCTAAAACTTTTTCAAAATTTTAGTAGAGCTTTTAAAATCTTTATTTAAGAAGTATTTTTTTAAGGGTTTGTAAAATTTTAAAATTCTATCGATGGCAGGTATTAATGACAACCACCTAATAGGTATATATCGCAATCGCAACAACTCACACCATTCCAAGTCAGACCACTTTACCAACTCATTTAATTCATTAAATGTTGATGACTAAATTCGTTAAAACATTTCATCACAATTATTTCGACATCCACAGATAGTACATTTATTGCCTTCTGCAAGAATTATGTAGTATATGGCATATACAGCCAATTGGTATTAATTCATTATTGTGCTGCCTCAATTTGGTAACTTTGGTTTTTGCCAAAATTTACAGAGACATTATCAGCGCAGAAAGCTGACATGCAAATCATTGATAACCCTGAATCAGCTATATTTATCATTATGTGGCTAGCTACATCGTTGAATTTTTCACTATCCTAGGAAAATTTTTTAACAGTTTTATTGAAATGTTCTTATTCTTGTTGAAATAGCGATGGATCGAGGGAAATGTTTTAATATTTCCCTTATTAGTTGATTCTGTTAGAATTGCATATGGATGCCCATCTTTCAAATCGTCTAGAATTGACCTCTAGGATTTAGGTACTAAAACACTTGTGATAGCCTTGCTCATTTTTGTTCTGCCACAAGTAAGGTTTGTACTTATATTGAAGTCGTTAAATATCATGAGAAAAAAATTCGACCCACATTGTGATGATATAGCTTTGTGAATGTTGAACTACATGATAGATGTATACGATTTCCGCAAATGTAGTTGCATCTGTATTATTTATTATTTGAAAATATTTTTGTATTGCATGACTTATATGAATGAAATGATGTTGATTTATAAAGAGAAATTTACAAACTAGACATGTTTTTCGAATAAATATTTAAAATTATTTTAAAAATATAAAAATAATCAATTAATGTCTCTCAAAATTTTTATTTATATATTAAAAATGTTAAAATACTAAAAAAAAAATTGCGGGAGTAATTAAAAAATTGCGGTAGATTTTTGCGGGAGTCTCCCGCTGATGGGGGGAGACATATCCTGCTGGTATAATATACAAAAAATTCATCTATTTGGTATTTTATCATATTTATCGGTGAGTATTATCATTTAATAAGCAAGCTTAATTATTATTTTTTTTATTCTAAACAGATATTTATTATATTACATTGATACTATAAAAAATTTGTGTAAATAATATTTTGAGAATATACTATATTAATTGTATTTATAAAAAAAATAAAACAGATATTTTAATTAATAAATAATTTAACATATATTATATAATAATGTATTTAATCCTTTTCTTATTTATTCCATGGCAGGAAAACTATAATTGTTAGCTAGTGTTAACTTTCACCAAACATTATATTAATCATAACTATATATAATCATTATAACAATATCTAATTGACGAATCATGTTGTATAAATTAAAAATACGGCCCGGCTCGGGTATTTTTTAAAAAAAATTTTAGGCCAGGTCCGGGGTCGGGCTTAAGGCCGGGCCTGCAGGTCTCTGATATTTACATAATTTACTCGCAAAAAATTTTAAAATCATCTATCACAGTCATTTTGATTTTATATTTGATCCAAAAATATTCATCAACAAAATTAAACATGCCAAAACTATTGACAAACTCTATATATATGTATATTTACATAATTGCTTATATTTTAATTTAATTAAATTTAATTGACTCTACGAAAACTCCACTCCACCGCCATATTGGGGAAACATCCTTTTTGGGGCACATCATTCCATTTAAAATATTTATTTCATTTTTCCATATATATAATGATTCTTCATCTCCTGCTTAATTCTTTTTGATTTCCCCCAAAAAGATAAATCTCAGACTTATTTTGATTGATGGGAAAAAGAGGGATTTTCTTTTCGCGCCAAATCATTCAGCCAATTACGTGACAGATCTTGTTTACAACACCTGGGAAGAAGGTTTAAATAACATGATTTATTCCAATTTTGGGAATTTTATTTTATTATACTTAATTATCCTGACCATTCCTGCTAGGATATAATTTTTTTAGGTGATATAGGGAATTTCAGAAGTTGTATTTGGAAATAGAAATTATAATAGGTTTTAGAGGAAATTTATAGGAACGGAATTTTAGAAAAAATTTATGGGAAGATCCAAAGAAATTTTTAGATGTGGAACGAAATTTTTTATATAAAAAAAAATTAAGGAATATATAATTTTTCGAAACTTGCAAGAGGAATTTTAAGGACACATAATAAATTTTTGGAAATATTTATTTCTTCGATTCCTTTCTTTTTTTTCTTCTATTCATTTTAAAATAATTCTTAAAGCTAAAAATCTGGAAGGAGTCAACAACAATCCCAAATTCTTGAAATTGATTTATCAAGGAAGATTCTTGCACGGAAATGTGATATTAGGAGGTAATAATGGAAAAAATTTAATGAATAAATTTAAGATTGAAAATAATAAATATGTAATTTATAAAAATTGTTCTAGGATGGTAAAAATTTAAAAAAATGAAGAGAGAATTAATATAAGAAAAGAAGCAAAAATAAGAAAAATAAACTAAAAAAAGAAAAAATTGAGATGGAAGAAAGAAACATAGAAATTAATACTAAACAAAAAATAAAAAATAAGAAGATATTAATTTAATAAAGAAGGAAAAAATTCTTTTTCATTGATTTTCATTTTTTTTAGCTCTCCTTTTGCCTCTCGGAAAAACTTCTGTTATGCATCTAGTTGCTCGGGAAAATTTACCGGAACCGAACCCACATGGTTATCAATTTTTTACAATTATTTGCTTCTATTCTTCATATTCCTGTTTCTTTTTCTTTAATTCTTCATATTTTTATTTTATCCACTCTTTGTTTATTTATTGAAAAATAATTAGTCAAGTTATATTTTCCCCAAGTAACTAATCAGTAACATTCTTAAACATATTTATATTTTATCCTTTCCGTTTATTTCTATTTTCTTTATAATTTCATTTATTTAACTTATTAATTATCCATTCTTTCTCAATTTTTAGTTTGTTTTTCTTACCTAGTCCTTCAATTTATTTATTCCATTTAATTTTTCATTTAAAATAAACAAAAAAGATGACAAAAAAAAAACTAAAAGATTCAGCTCTGTCTTATTCCATTCCTGTTGTTTCAGATGTTTCCGGATCACGTGACGTTGTATCTGAATCTTCTGGCCACTTTTCCATAAATTTAAATATACACATAATGAAATAAATTTTGTAGAAAAGAAACGATGGAAAAGAAATATAAAAAATTCTGAAAAGAAATAATTTAAAAGGAAAGACGAATATATATTTTTCAAAACAAGGAAATATTCTTGAATTTTAAAATATTCACTATTGCAAAATATATTTCACAAGTTTTCGAATGTAGATGGCGCTAATTTTTACCTTATGACTCATTTTTTTTGTGGCAAATTTAAAAATGGATATTCACGAATTGTAAAATGTTATTTCACAAGTTTTTTTTAACAAAAAAATATTTCAAAAAATTTTTTTTTAAAATAATATTCCAATTTTGAAATGTTACATTTTCTCTTCCTTTCTTTTTTTCTAATATTATTTTATTTTTAATTTTTGAACAAAATCTTAAACTAACAAATTATTTTCTATAATTATATTTCTTTTTTTATCTTATCTTTTTATTCTTTATCTTACTATTTTAGTTTTCTTGTTTTTATTAGATTTTTTCCCATAGTTTATGAAAATTAAATTTGGATCCATCTTTATTTCGCACTTTTCCTTTTCTGTAGGACTTCCATTTTATTTCCTCTTGCGTTTTATTTTTTTGTTCCTTTACCTTTCTTTCCTTAATGTATATTGTTATGTATCAAATAGATTGTTTATTTATAATTAATTTTTTAAATGTTCGATCGTTATTGTTATACCTTAATGTTTGGTTTAAATTAATAAACGATATTCATTAATGACGTAATTAAATTTACAATAATTAATAGATTCAAAACGATTTATTTGAGGGAATTCAGAAAACTCATGGCTTCTAACGACCACACAATCAAAATTATTTCTAACAACGATAGAATGCTACACGTACAAGATTTTTTCAAATATATGTTATAAAGAAAGCCCGGGAGAAAAAGGATGATTAGAAATACTTCATTAAGAGATAAATACTTATTCGGAATAAAAATCCAAAAATATTAGGGATTACTCTATGAAGAATGAAAGTAACCACATGACTAAGTAATACAAAGAGAGAAACGAGTGATGACCCAATAAGCTTAGCTAAATAAATATAATATAATCGATTCATCAAACAGATTATAATGACAATAATAATATTAGATGCAATAAAAAATTATGATATATACAAAAAAACTCAATCGTGCATGATTAGGAGATCATGTGAGAGAGTGCAAATTCAAAAAGGTATTGTCGTATTCGGCGATATTCGCTAAAGTTTGCTATAGTATTTTTTATTATGATTTTTGCAATGATACGCGACAAATATTTTCTTAAAGATGTTATCAGTTGCAGATAATATTTTTAACTTTTGGAATATAAAACATATTATATAGGTATTATCCAAGACTTTTTAATCCTTGTGGAATTCTGAAAATGATCAATTTTGCATCACTCGTTATTTATTAGTTTTTACTTTAATTATATTTTCTTCCTCGTCTCTTTGCGATGAGGTAGGCAACATTTTCAAAAAATATAACGAAATATTAATTGTAAAATTAAAATACCTTTATACTTACTACCAATGGTTATTGAACTAGATAAAATATAATAGGGCATAAGTTAATAAACTCGGTTATTCAAAATATCTATTCATCTATCTCCTACAACAGCATCGATTCCATGTAGATTATACTGAGTCATTTTACAAGTTTATACGGGTTGCCATTGGTAGATGGCAACCACTAGTGGCCAGATATAATGGCGATAAATAGTACAAACACAGAAAGTATATGATAAAAGGGCTTACAATTATATTTGAAAAATTTGGAACACCAAAAATGAAGATTACCGATAACGGTACACAATTTAGTGATATAAAATTAATATATACTTAATAGTCTATCATATCGCCCATAAGAGTTATATTGATATATTATTTTGCAAAAAGTCAATTTTTTTTATATTACATAATTATATATATCCATTATATGCCAGAGATGCCTAGAAGAAATAATAAAAATAATCTGTTTATCTTAAAATAAAACGAATCAATTTTAATGCAGTATCCCTATATCCCATATTTTCTTTCCAATAAGTTTAGCAAGATTATTACTTCCAACTAGTGTTGTTAAACGACTGAGCCAGCCGGCTTAGCCGAAAACTCAGCCAGGTTTTGAGCCAAAAATTCGGCTCAGGCTCAAGGCGGCTGGCTCACTCAAGCCGATTATTGAGGCGAAATTTATTTATTTCAGATTAGTGTTAGTGTTGCTAAAGGGCTGATCCAAGCCGGCAAAACCCTAAACTCAGCCAGTTTTTGAGTCAAAAATTAACTAAGGTTCAAGCCTCCTCATTGAGCCCCTTTTAGTTGGCTGGTTGAGTCGGCTCAAGCCGGCTAATGAGTTGCCTCAAGCCGTCTTTTAAGCCAAAATTTATTTATTTGAGATTAGTTTTGTTAAACGGCTGAGCCAAGCCGGCTTAGCCCTAAACTCATCTAGTTTTTGAGTCTAAAATTGACTCAAGCCGGCTCTTTGAGCCAAATTATACTGCTGGCTCGAGTCGGCTCATGACTTGGCTCAAGCTGACTTTTGAGCCGAAATTTATTTATAAACGTCTGAGCCAAGCCGGCTTAGCCTTAAATTCAGCTTGTTTTTGAGTCAAAAATTGACTAGGCTCAAGCCAAGAAGATGATCCCATAATTAAAAAAGATCTACGACACATATTGCATCGGTATAGCAGACTCTTGTTTTTCTTCTACCCGCATTATGAAATTGCAAATAGTATATTATATTCCTGACGATAATAATTGTTATTTAGGCAAAAATCATTCACAAGTTGCTTAATCATTTATACATTTTAAAAAAAAACTATGGATATTAAATAATCGGAATCAGCTATAAAAAAATAACATAAAAAAGGATTGATTTATTTTTTATTTATTATTATATTGAATTTGGTTCCCCGTCAATTCGGCGCGGAAAATTCGGCGCATCGTCAATTCAGCGCGGCGACAACTCGGCGCAACGTCAATTCGGCGCGGCGACAATTCGGCGCAACGTCAATTCGGCGCGTATCTAATACAGTTGCAATTTATTATAAATTTATTAGTATAAAAAAAAGGATGATTAAATAGAAATGATTTTGAATGTTGGTCATATTAATTATTTCTTCGTATTTTTTTTTACAAAAATCTCAATTTTATTTACTAAATGTGTAATATCAATAAAAAAAATTAACAACCAATATTTATACCGATTTCCTTGCTGGACCAATTTACCACATTATAAGGTAGGGGAGACTGGGGTTACTTGGACCGATTTTTATAAAATTGGCTATAGCTCCTGGTTTTTTAGATAATATAAAAAAAATATATGATTAGATACCTAAAACTATACTCTATAAAGGTTCCTTATAAAAAATTTTAAGAATATAATCATTTTTTTTGAATTTTACTTTTTGTAAAAGAACAATTTTGTCCAACAAACCCCAATAGCGGGTAAATTAAGGCAAGTTATATATAAAAATTGAAACTTAATTTTGGTTAATTTAATAAACATTTTGTATTTTTTTCTTTATTACCTGCCATAATTGACGTGTATGGTTTAGCAAGCCCTGCTAACTCTAAATTTCTGGATATAATAAATACTCATAAAACTTTCCCAAATTATAAAAACTTCATCAATATTTTATTTCTTAAATAAAATTTTTAATAATTATTTCAAAAGATTTTTTGTCTATAGACGTAAACTAATAAAAACTATATTATGATAAAATTTTAACCTTCTGGTGTATTTAATTTTAAGATGAGATTAAGTGGTTTGCCAAGCCCCGGTACCTAACCCCAGTCTCCCCTATTTTGATTAGTAGCCAATATTATGTAAGCGAGATTTTGCGCTAAATGTAAGAAAAGTTTGGACTTCTATCTCTAATCTTACATGTTATTATGGCTAAAATCTTAATCGACCCAAATCGGACGTTTAACAACACTAATGTTGATCCAATAAAATTCAAATTAAGACTTATTCATTTTTTAGATTTATTAAAAATCCTTAAAATAATTCTATTAATCATTTTAAATATATATTATGTTTAACTAATTTTTTCTATTATAAAATAATCAAAAACGAATTAACGCACAAAGGCAATTTCATGGCTGTTTATGATTGGTATTTAGGATTTATGCTAAGAAATCATAATATCTCCTTTATGTCCAAAATGTTTATTAAATTAACCTAAATTAAGTTTCAATTTTTATATATAATTTGCTTCAATTTATAAGTATTATGATATTTTTAACAATAAAACAATAAAATTATTCTATACGTATCATTATTAATAAATAAAAATGTATTTCAATTTATTATGGCTAAAAAAACCAATGATTTAGGAAGCCCCTTGAATTTGCCCCACCCCGCTATTGGGGCTTTTTGGATATTATTTTTACTTTTTCAAAAAGTAAAATTTAAAAAAAATGATTATATTCTTAAAATTTTTATAAGGTACCTTTATAGAGTATAGTTTTAGGAGGTATCTAATCATATATTATTTTTTATATTATATAAAAAAATCAGGAGCTAAATTTTGTAAAAATCGGTCCAATTAACCCCAGTCTCCCCTACCTTATAATGTGGTAAATTGGTCCAGCAAGGAAATCGGTATAAATATTGGTTGTTAATTTTTTTTATTGATATTACACATTTAGTAAATAAAATTGAGATTTTTGTAAAAAAAAATACGAAGAAATAATTAATATGACCAACATTCAAAATCATTTCTATTTAATCATCCTTTTTTTTATACTAATAAATTTATAATAAATTGCAACTGTATTAGATACGCGCCGAATTGACGTTGCGCTGAATTGACGTTGCGCCGAATTGAGGTTGCGCCTAGTTGTCGCCGCGCCGAATTGACGTTGCGCCGAGTTGTCGCCGCGCTGAATTGTCGTGCGCCGAATTTTTCGCGCCGAATTGACGTGATACCATTGAATTTGTTTAATGTAATTTTATAAATTATTATTTAATATTATTTATTCTTATATACCCATGCTATAAATGGAAAAAATAAAAAACACAAATTTAGAATTTGTAAATAAATTATACCCCTCTATTTTTTTAATAATATTTTATTTTTTTGTTTCATGATATTTTATTTTATAGGTATATAAATTAAAATATAAATCATTTTTTTCTTTTAAGCTAAAGATATTTTGATAAATAATCTTTCATTAACTCAACATTTTATTTCTTTTTTTTTTCATAGAATTTCATGTAAATATTAATTAATTTTTTTATTAAACATTATTAAAGGTGGTTTTATTAATATTACGTATTGTTTATGAATTTTTAAATGGTTTTTTTAATATTAATATCAGATAGCTGCAGAGGTAATTTGCATGGCCCGAATTTTTAAAATAGAAAAATTTCGTCCAGGATCCTATTTTCAAAAAAAAATTAGGACTGGCAAGAATTTTTTTAAAAATATTTAGACATAGTCCGTGATATATATCGGGGCGGATCGTCTCGTAATTTTTTAATGTTATTTTTAGTCTAACCACCATCTTTCAATCGTTTAAGTTATTGATATTTCTATCATCAATATCAACAAAGATTTTACCTTATAATATACTTGTTGTACATATTTGATTTGATAAGAATTTTAAATCTTCTTTGTAAATAAATCATTTTTGAGGAATTCTTTTGAGAATTTTATTATAAATAAACAATCTTTTAGCTAAATCTTTTATAGTTTTTTTTAGCATCTTTGTAAAATTATCTATTTTTTT